GATAGCCAATCTGTAACTAAAGTCGTGTCACTGTCCCCAGCGTGGCCGAAAATGAGTTAACCCGATACATTCTGATTGTCTCTTCCAGGCCCAGCCCATGAGAAATTTGCCAACTGTTCTACACAGGTTCTACACAGGTAATCTATTGCCAAAGTTCTTTGATAGAGTTGTTTACCAATTATCAAGACCCAATCAAAGCTATTTGCCAACAATCAGAAGTAGGTGACACAGATGCAGCCCATTACCCGGCAAGAAATTAGTGAATGGTAGTTCTTCATCCTGTCCATGGAAAAACTCGCCCCTTGTACTCCTCAGTTATTGTCACGTATCACTGACTGCATGACGTGATCGATCCTTGGCAGCTCCGTGCACAAATCGTCACCTAAACCTTAGTTAGGTCTTGCATTATTAGCGAGTTTTATCTGCAATATTGAACTTCTACAAGGTAAGTAATATCTTTTATTAAAGTGGTGCAAGCGTTTTATTGGAATCAGCATTCATCTTCAATAGATCGTGATTGTATAAAAGCGAGATTGTCAACTGCGCAGCGTCTGAAAGCGGAAATCTTAAATTTTCTTCAATTCCACGTCGTGGAAAATCTTCGGTATATTTCGTTTTACTTCACCAAAACTGCTTCCTTCTTGCTACGATTTCTGTTATGATGACCTATAAACGTAAGATACTATAGTATACATAGAATTTGCCTTGCATTCGAACAGAGGAATCTTTTGTTTGGGAGTTGAGCTGTCAAACGAACTGAAATTTTACTTATGGAAATGAGCGCTGGATTTGGAAAGCCATGAACATTTTATGCTGGTTATTTTGAACAAAGAAAATCATGATTGAAAAAAATATTTTCACGATAGTATGTTTGTTTGCAATATGCCGATCGGCTGCTATATACCGGTATAGATCCTATAAAATTTGCAAGTCATTGTTTGTTTTGTTCTGCAATCATGTGCGGTCACACGTAATGTCACGCCTTGGTTTTTGAGAACTTATAATCAGTCACAATGAAATTCACGGAAGAAAAAGTCAAAATGGACTGCTCTCAAGAGTAGATGGTTTTTAGGAGGGCAAAAGTTATCATCAAAACCCCAAAATCGCCGAATGCCCCGATTCACGATGCCACCTGTGAAGCGTGACGAGTTAGACAAAAGGTACCATTGTTGCTTGATTTGGTGAATGTAATTTGTGTGGTATTCTTGATTTAAGACAAATCGCATTGTTTACGGTATTGAGTATGCTGTGGTTCAGTAGCATCCTCGGTTCAATTTTGCATTTTCTTTAATGCGGTATGCCAAATACCTTATGAGCGTAATAAAGGTTTGAACCAAGGATAAAACTGAATCACAAAATATAACTTTTTATCAGTTTAGAGAAGCTCGGTAAAACACATCCTCGGAGACCCAGGGGCAGTCAGTCGGGCCGGGTTAAAAGGCGCGACGAAAGTTTTCAAGCACAGGCGGAAGAGCCCCTGGGTACCGACTCTCACCGGACCATTTCCAAACGGTCAAGCGATTGCTGGCTCCTGATTGGGCACAAAAAATGCTTTGTATTATTGTGCCCAATCGGCGAACAGCATCTCCTGAGTTCTTTTCGTGAGTTCGTACACGACGGCTATTGATTCGATAACGGCTTGTCCGGCTCATGCACCAAAGAAATGCACGCTGTCGGGAATCTTTCAGTTTGATATAACCGCTACATTTCAAAATACTGGTAGTCTTTACACCAGAACCTAAATAAGCTAAGAAATATTTCAAGACAAGTAAATTTTAAATTCTTCAAGTAAAAGAAAGCTTCACACACAACCTATCTTTTTTCTTCAGGTTTTCCCACGCTACGTAATTAAGATTGATTGACATGCTTGCTTTTCTCAAAGCTTGAAAACCGCAAGTTCGGTTTTTTGAGTCGGTTTTAATGAGATGCAAAGTAAAGTTACTTGAGATTTTGCTTAGGCCGTCACACACGCTTTTGGGTTAAGTAAAACTTAGCAGCTCTTAAGTCTTACTTAACAGCCTAGTGTAAAGACAACCACTGTCTACACGAAAACTAAAGACGCTTTTCCAAAACTACAAGCTTGAGCTTACAACAGGTACTTTTCACGCTTGTATCGATCAAGCCTTCGTAAATATTAGGGAGTTTAATATGCCACGACAGCTGACAACCACGAAAACGTCGCATGAAGAGTGAACTCACATTTTTTCAGTCTCTATCGTGATTATTCCAAGTCACTTACTTTGTCAAATGCAAGCGAACTCTCCTGGAGCTGAATTTCTATCAACCCGATATCCAAGTTCATAAAGAGAAAGAAGATTTTGTCATTGCTTGTTTACGTCCTTCACAAAACGTGAAATTAGGCATTTTCACGGGGTAGTCGTGCAATGACGGCAAATGATATACAGAAAAGTGTGATGCACGTGCAAAGTTGCTGTTTTGCCTTGTCAGACTTGTCAAGCTATTAATTTTTTTACTTTCTCGTCGCCGCTTCATCTTAAACTTCCTATTATTTACGATACATTGTGATCCGTCAGAAACAGAATTTTCTCAGTGCAAATTAAATTGCTGCTGCCGATAGCATCCGAAACGTTTTTCGACTCATCGGTAGTTCCTTCGTTTCTGGTTAGGAAAGCTTGGTGAACGAACCGGGCAACTGTGGCGAGATAATAGCCGTCGTGTACGAACTCACGAAAAGAACTCAGTAGATGCTGTTCGCCGATTGGGCACAATAATACAAAGCATTTTTTGTGCCCAATCAGGAGCCAGCATTCTCTTGACCGTTTGGAAATGGTCCGGTGAGAGTCGGTACCCAGGGGCTTTTCCGCCTGTGCTTGAAAACTTTTGTCGCGCCTTTTCTCCCGGCCCGACTGACCGCCCCTGGGTCTCCGAGGATGGGTAAAACACGGTTATAAGACCGATTACGTAATAGAATCCCCACGGTTAAATGCTTCTCTCTCTGTTTTAAACGCTTTCAGAGAGGAGAAGCCTTTTTTCCACTCTGTCTTTACCTTGAGTTGCAGAGACTTCTCACGCAGGGTTTCCGGTTTCTATTTTTGAATCACAGTGGATCGAGAGCACGCGTGAGGGGCGAGCGGCGAAGCCGCGAGGAACGAGGGCTGAAGCCCGAGGAAAGAAAAAATCTCTCCCCTTTTTTTCCCATTAATTAGCATAATTTTTCTTTTACCCGCTGCGCGCGGCTCTGAGGAAAAAAGGACGACCGCTCGCGGTCTATGTTTTCTTGAGATAGTGCAATTATAAATCAGAATTCACATTCATCTACTTTCTAATATCTTTATCTTTTCGCGCATTTTTAAAAAGGCCACACTGTTTACCTCCGTTTTCCAAAGAACACAGCTTGTAATATATTCCAACGTTGATGCTCGATACCGATAAAAGCTTATATATAGTTGTAATAACAGACTTTTTCAAGGTCCTTTCTTGTTTTTTTTTCTGCAATCCGCAATAACGACAAGATGTCCTAGACTGTTTCTGAACTATTCTGCTACTGCTCACTGCTCGGCGAAGTCGTTTTGCGTTGTATAAATAAAACAAGATCGGTGAATATTGAGCGCAGCTATAAAAATCGGCGTTATGACACTGCTTTCAAGCTCAGTCACCAAGGCACAGTTACTCAGCATTATTAAAAGTATCAGAACACAGACATAAGAATATCGCAAGTTGTACAGATTTGGAAAGACTGGGAAAAGAGTTGGAAAGAGCACCCGCAGATACCGTAAAATTCCGAAAATAGGCCCCTTCACGTATAAGCTCCTCCAAATATAAGCCCCCCAAACTCGTAACACAAAAAACCTTCCTTAAAATCACCCCTTCGAATATAAGCTCCCCGAGGGCTTGTACTTGGAAATTGCCCTCAAATACAAAGTAAAACAAAGCAAAAACGGTACATTTACTTCCAGCTATAAGGCTAGCCCAACTGATTTTGAAACGCAAATTTCCCTCCGTGCATAAATGAGCCCTCAAAAAGGGCCACTGAAAAATATAAGCCCCGGGGCTTATTTTCGGAATTTTACGGTACTCCGTAATTGATAAACACCTCAAAGGAAATGACCAACAAGCCTCTGTCCCTGAGACGCGGAACGGACATGATTATCACGAATTTATTTTAAGAGAAATTTCATAGCACATTAGAAATAATATGTTTACAGCATTGATATACAAAAAATTACAAACATATCAAAAAAATTATTACAGTACGAAAAAATGATGGGGAAAAAACTGTTTTATGCATATTCATATCATCATCAAGTCTCATCGCGCCAGTAGGCGCGTAAGGCCTCTACAAGGCTCATGTTTTCCTTCAGCATGCATGGGTCTTTCGCATATCTTCATATATGATATGACAATTTAAATCCCATCACATACAGTAAACACGTACCCGCTAATAAGAACCTTCATTTTTTGAGGTCTGGCAAAAAAGATTCTCTTATTTGGGGGAAGTTATTGGTAATTTAGGCTAAATAGATTCTTAATTAGGTTATTAATTTTTGTGAAGGAGACATGTTCGTTGACTACCAGAAAAATAATTAAATAAACTTGTGTTTGGTCCTTAAATTTACGGTATTTATTCACAATTGTACATTGTAAAATTTCTTTGTGCAAGATCCATGAAAACAATTACGATCTGTACTTTTTACAAACCTTATACTCTTATTTGTAATTGCAGTTTGGTGCGGTATCTTCTTGTAATATCAACTGGCAATCTCGAATTCCAACTCCTTAGCCGTAAAACGTTTATCTTAATTTTACTGTGACCAACACATAAGAACCTGCTTGATTCGCTTGGGTAAACAGGTTCTTATATTTTTGGGTTTTAAGTGTCGAATTTCTGCCAGCGAGTTCCCAAACCCGTTCTCCTCCGCAGAGGTCTCTTTGTGTCGTAGGGAGGCTGGGGAGAAGGAAAAAAGTAAGCGCGCGGGGCAAGATGGGAGGGAGAAAGAGAGGAAGCTCACGCTTTTTCCCTTTTCCTATCTTCCCCCGCGCGCTTACTATTTTTCAATTAGTGCTATTTTTATTGAGATCCCCGGCAGTAGACTTGCTACAAGTCGACCTCTTGGCGAGCGGAGCGAGCCTTTTTTGGCCGCAAGCGGCCGACCGCGAGCGACGAAGTCGCGAGAGGTCTTTCCTCACACTCCATATGAAATCCGACGAAGGACTTTTTTGAAAGTCTAACCCGGCAGGAGCCTATGCGGAGGAGAGAGCTCTTAAACCACAAGTTCTTATTAGCGGTTGTTTACTGTAACGTTTCTCGTTGAATATGGGGTGAAGTTCAATGTCTTAAGCCCAAATGTTAACCCTTTGAAAGCGTCTGCTTCAAATTTTCAAACCTCTTGTACATGCTATTTTTTTCACTAGCTGCAATGAATCCGACGCCTATTAATAGTCAGAGCTTAAAAAATAATATCACGCGAGCAAATGACAAGTACAGCAAAAAAATAAAAATAAAAAGTAAAAGAAATAAAACCCTACAGGGATGTATAGGAAGACCACATCCTTTAGTAAGAAATCATCTATGAGTTCTAGTATAGTTTATCAAATAACGTAAAGAAATCGTGAAATTGTGGCGAGAAAAATACTGTTTATGTAAAATGCAAGGTATAGGTTTTAAATTTTGACATCTGATGAAATCCTTGATTATTTCCAATCAAATAGGCTTATTGTTGCTCTACCTTGAGTGCTTTTTATAACGTTTATCTTGACTTTGACCCTTTCATTATCTCAACATTCAGATCAAGTGTGTCGGCTGTCGGTTAGTGGTCCTTCCTCCGATCACTAGATGGTCTATCCACTTTATAAAGCACTTTCTGTGCTGCCCAATGCATCACCGTTCATTGAATTGTCAGCCATATTTTCACGACCAATTTCTTTGCTGCTATGATGACTTTCATTGTCGTAACTTGGTTTGCAAAACCAGAAAGAAAGGAAGTAAAGAAGTATAGAGATACCTGTAATTGAAATAAAGGAAATAAAGCTATTAAGAGACCTTGACACAGTATACACCAATGGGGTGCGTTCGATTGGGAAATCTAGATTTAGATTTTAAAATCCGGATTTCGAATTTGCAATCGAACGCGAAATCCGAAAATGGATTTCAACGAAGAGATATCTGTTTTTGGATTTTCATTTTTACCGTTCGATTGGGAAATCCGAAAAAGGATTTGAAAAACTGTCCTTTAGAACAGCGGTCTTGCACGCGCACGCATACTTAGCAAAAAGAAGACCACTGTTCACGAGAATAGTTTTGCAAATCCTTTTTCGGATTTCCCAATCGAACGGTAAAAAGGAAATCCATGAAATCCAGATTTGGATTTCTTAATTGAAATCCACCCTGAGGATGTTTTCAGATTTCGCTTTCGATTGGGAAATCCGGATTTAGATTTTGAAAATCTAAATCCGGATTTCCCAATCGAACGCACCCTTAAGATTTAACAATTATATTGAACGAGGCTGAGTATGATCATGATGTGAAGAATTATGCAGATCGAGTTCAGCCTCGGTCGAATAACATCCTCCAAGCCTCCTAGAAAGAATGATGAAGTCTCATTAAGTGGTTGAAGCCTTTCAGTTTGTGGATGAAATCCTATGGTCTGTGATTCAAATAAAAGACTCTTTAGCAATACGTTCACATGGTACTATATATTAATTTAGTATGTACAGTTCTAACTTTTGAGTCTGTGGATGAAATCCTATGCCAGTTTGACCATGCAGTCAAATGAAACATCTTCAGCAGTACTTTAACGTCAGTGGTATCAACTATTTAGTATGCAGTGCTAACTTTTGAGTCTGTGGACATTAGGAAGCTTATTAGGGAGCTTTAGCAACGACGCCGGCGACGGCAACGGGGACGTCAAAAAAGCAATAGGTTTATTACGCAAAACAACAACTTTGCACGTGCATCACGCTTTTTTGTACATTTCTTCACCGTCCTTGCACGACTACGACGTGAAAATGCCTCATTGCAAGTTTTATGGAGGACGTAAACAAGCAACGACGAATCTCTTTTTCTCTCTCTAAACTTGAGTGCGGTCCTCAAGAAATCAACTCCAGGGAAATTCGCCTACACTTGCCATTTTCAGCAAACTGGAATAAACGCGACAAAGATTGAAAAGACGGGAATTCATTTTAAATCTGACGTTTTCGCTGCCGTTGCCGTCGTCGATGCTAAAGCTCCCTATTATATAAGCAACAACGACGGCGATGGCTGCAAAAACTTCACTTAACTTTACGCGCTTATTCCATCTCGTTCAATTAGTCTTTCTTGACTTGAATTCTAAAAGACTGCATCGGGGTTGAGGAAACGAAAAAGAAAGTCGTTGTCTTGTGTTACATCTTCGACAAAACGTGAAATTAGGTATTTTCACGTCGTAGTCGTGCAGCGAAGGCAAAGAAATGTACACAAAGTGTGTTGCATGTATAAAGTTGTTATTTTTTCTATTGTTTTTTTCGCCGTTCTCATTGCTGTCGCCGTCGTCGTTGCTTACGCTCCCTACTAGTGGGACAAAACGAAAGGCTGGGATCGTCTTTCTGGCAATTTGTACTGTTTTAAAGTCAATTTCGAGGTTCGAGTAGCCTGAGCATCAGGCGTTCCTAAGGGGCTAGGGGAGAGGAGATCCCTTTTTCGCTTCCATCTTTCCCCTTTTCTCTAGAAACGCCTGATACTCAGGCTAAGGTTCGAGGTTTGGTTGTACATAATGAAGTAAAACGAAAAACCTTCAGAAGGGCGACTTGTTACTAATTATAATTTATAAACTAAGGTAATCTTCCAACCACACTAGTAAGTGTTTCTGTGGTAACAGAAACGATCCTGAAACAACGGAGTATTGTAATATTTTGCGGATTGCTGATTTCATCAGAGAGCGGACTCATCTGGAACCTTAATGACTATCTGTCACTTTAATTAGATATTTACCTTTCATTACAAATCCAAAGATGGTAATTTTCGTGGCTATATTCCACATATTGTATATTTGGCAACGGCCTCGTCTGTTGCAACTTTCCCCCCAAAATAGACACCCCGAATCAAACATCCATCCAAAAATGATGGGCCCTGGTACGAATCCGAGCGACCGCTGGAAGATGAATTGAAATCCGAGAGAGTAGGACCTGTGATTGTCTGGTACGCACCTGATGAAATAAAATAAGGTAGGCAAATGTTGACTGACATAGATCATGGAATATTAACGACTGAATATGTACGTACGTGTAGATATCAGGCACGTACTCTGCGAGCAGTGGCTGGACGCTACGCTTAGCGTCCGGCCTGTAGAAACCACTACTCGCAGGGCATCAGGAACGTGTCCCTTTGGAGCTCTTCTACAGCTAAATGGTGCGCTTCTTTCAGTTTCAATTTAAGCATCACGGGACTCCCTTAAGTTAAGGTTTGATTGGCCTAGGATCAGGCTCCGCAATTGAGGAAAAAGGCGCGAAAAAAATCGGCTAGTCCCCAGACCACAGCTTAGCCTGAGATCATGCCCTCTCCCTATTATCCCTTTATGTCTCTCACGGGAAGAGGGCATGATACATTTCTCTGTCGGATCACATGTAAAAATGCCAGAATCTGGACTTTTTTCTGATTGGATAGGAAACAATGCGGATGATTTGCGCTGTTCCGATTCGCCAAAATGACGCCATCCGTTAGTTGTTGTTGATTTCAGTCTGCATTTTTGCTTGCGTAATAAGCAGTGAATACACACGCGAGTTCGTTATGAAATTTCTGCCCGCTCACTTTTCTTGAATTTGAAGAATGCCTAAATAGAAGTTTCATCCATTGAAATATTTACCATCTCATCGTATACCAAAACAGTTGCAGTCAAAACTTCACCGATCATTTGAATGCAATTTGATACCGGCTACAAGTTACAGAAGCGACAAACGGGTTCACTTTTCAAATAATCAATTCATCATGGAATCTTGACCTGGTTTGACTGTATTTTCTCCTTCAGAAATCATGCTGCGAATTATTCTGAGCGATCTTCGCTTTCACAACACCTTTCAGTTCGTGAAATATGGTGCTTCAGCCTAATTTTTTTCCCACTGCTTTCGGTACAGAACGAAGTCAACGAGCTTTAACCAGTAAATTCTTTATTATTTGTAGCTATTCATATAGGTACGACAGCTCCAGCTAGCAGTATATTTCATCACAAAAACAACACATTAATTTTTTTTTTTTTTTTTACGAAGCGCCATCTGAACACGGACGTACTTGAAAATTTTTTTTCCCTAAAACTGATTTCAAAAGAGACATTATTCGCGCCAAAATTTGATTCCCGTTTGGTAAACGCTTATTGGCTAAAAACATGACAGGTCAAGCAAACGTTAGATTATGTAAATTAGGGGGCGGTTGACTGCTTGTTAAATAAATGTATCAGGCGTTTTTTTTTTTCCCTCTCGAGCCAAGCAAAAAAAAAAAAAAAAAAAAAAAAAAAGACGCCTGATCTCAGGTTAACCACAGCTCGGCTCGCTTTGCTAAGAAAGGGTGGCTACCCCTTCCCAGTCCACCGCCCGGCTCCCTCCGCTCGCTGATTTTTCTTAATGCTATTTCACTCCGTTTTTGCTATTTTTTTCCCCATATAGCGAAGTCCTCAACAGGATATGAACCTATGATCTACCGAACATCGTGTATAGGCGCTTTATACACTAAGCTACGGAGAGACTCATGGAGTGAAAAGTCAACGGAAAATGAGGGAAACCAAGGTCTTATCCTTATTGGTGCATATTTGTCACGCGTCCTGCAAACTGCTATAGGATCATGTTGATATCATGTTGTTTGGTGATAAAAAAGAAAAGATGGTGATTTGATAATATCAGTGATTTTTTCGCCAAATAAACTAACATTATATCGCATGTTCAACTGCTCGCAGCCAATTAATCAAATCTCAGGCACTGTTCGTAAGGAAGAGATGTCTGTATTAAGGAGAATCTAGACCCCAGGCCTCCAAGGGAGAAAAATCTGGGCACACACATCAACACAATTTATACGTCGGCACGTGTTTCTTTGTCATATAGATATTTATTTATACAGAAAACTAAAAAGATTCCTTTATCGGTTAAAAAAATCGGCATTTCATCCTGAATTCCTTAAGTGAGATCAAAATCTGCAATTTCTACCCCTAAGCGAGATGGCCAATATGCCGTTACTTCAATATGGCAACTCCCCCCTCTCACGGGGTGAATCAGCAGAATGGGTTCTTTTACTTTCGCAGTTGAGAGTCATATCAGTGGTAGCCTGCGTAGCTGGCAGTTCTTTTTCTGTGTGTTTTCTTTTGAGGTTCGTGAAGTGACTGAGATTCAGCCGCGCGAAAGCTGAACCAAGATCGAACCTGGAAAAAAAAGATGGGGAGGGGGTGAGGGGAGAACGCAGTGAGGGTTTTCTCTCTCTTCCCCTCGCCCCCTCCACCAGCGGTTTCCCTTTTTACCTCGCTCGCCCGTATAAGTGAAAATCCGCCACACTAAAAAAAACCGCCAGCCACTGCGGCAGTCTATATCAGTGGAAGTGCTGCAAGGTGAGACGGAATAAGCGTTAGTAATGCTATACTTTCTTACCGTAGAACCACTGTTTTGTTTGGTATCGCTATCAGGAAAACCGCCGAAAGCAGCAAAACATTGATCATAAGGAAGTATTTGTAATTCTTGCATCCAGATCCACGGTCGCAGTAACCTTTCTTTGCTGAACTGGTTTGAGTGTTGTTTCCCCCAAGATCAACGCAGCTACAGTTTAATACCTAAAATCAAGAATGAAAGCACCTTTCCATGTTTTTGTATGGTTATTTCTCTACCACGCCCACGGTATTTTTTTTATACCAGGGTCTGGAATTGTTATGATTCGGTTCTTCAGAGCAGCGGTTCAAGCGCAGGGTAATAAGGTAGGAAAAGCACCAATTTGGTTCGTAAATAGGATAACAGTTTCAGGAAGAATTTAATTTATTTATTCATTTATTCATATACTTATCTATTTCTAGCCAAATTTGTGGAAGCATGCTGGAAAATGCCCTAGAATATTCGCATTACCGAATTTTTAACAAGGGCTTAGTATCTTAGTCGGTCTCATCGTTAAGCTCAGGCCCTGAGCTAACTTTCCGTTGTGTATATTTGCCGACAAGCCTCCAGGTCAATCGCTATGTAGCCGTTTTTCCTTACACCATTATGTCATATTACCATTTATGGAAAGCGTAGGTCACGTGTTGTGAGAGATTAAACAGAGTTCTAGTTGTTGTTGAGATCGAGTTGGCGCGGTATGTTTTCGCTTATTTTCTAACCGCTACAAATCTGGTGGAGAACCTAAAATCCCGAAATGACCACCGTAGAAGAATTACAAGGTATCGTGGCAGGCCTTACGGCAATTGTCAAGCAGCAGGCGGAAGCACAGAAGGCAACAAAAACTCAAATCGCTAACCTCACTGAAGCATTGCTCGCACATGGCGGACCTCCCACAGCTCCGGCTACAGCCCAAGTAAATTCCACGCCTTTACGAATGCCTGCTCTTCAACTCCCGCAATTTCGTTATGACCAGAACACTCACGACGACGTTAACGAATTCCTCGAATCTTTTGATGTTCAAACGACCCATTTGCAAGCTGCAACTAAGCTCACCTTGCTACAACAAGCATGCGTTGGCGAATGGCCAAATTCCGTGTTGTCAATGGAAAAGACTAAGTTTACAGATGAAACAACTCCTCTCCAAAAGCTGGACAGTTTTAAACAAGCTTTAAAATCAACATTTGCCGAACCACCAGAAGTACAACGCCGTCGTCTGGCGTCTGAGTTTTCTACGATGAAACAGCGAGTTACAGAATCGATCGATCGCTTCGCATTTCGCTTCAAAAACAACCTTCATCGCCTCGCTAAATTGGGCGAACCCGTAGACCGAAACTCGCCTCAGTTCATCATGTCGCAGTTTATCTCCAAAACGAAACCAGACATTCAAAAACATATGGTGCTTAAAGCAGAAGAATACAAAGATCTTTCTGAGATCATCGAAGCCCCAAAACGAATCGAGCGTTCATTCAGTCCTTCGCACAGTCAACCCAATAAACAACCGCCGGAACAAACTAACGCTCTTACCACTAATCCAGCTCCTGGTTTTCCTCGTGGTCGCGGCAAAGGACCCCGCTGTTATAACTGCAATTCCTATGGCCACACCAAAGGCAACTGCCCCGAAAAAACGCAGAAAAACCACAATTCTACGAATCCTCAAAGAAGTAACGAAATTTGCCGTTTATGGAACAAACATCAACGACCTCCCTGCGTTTTACCAGACCAGTCATGTAGATATGGCCGTCCTCACAACTGTAACACTTGTTCTAAGCCAGGTTGCAAGGATATTAATCATGCAAACTCCTGCGAAGTTCAACCAGCACAGGCACCCAACTGGGACCACGCACTTCTCAACCACCTTCCTCTGGTGTTCAGTCTCAGTCTTCCAACCCTCCGCTATTTCTGATGCCGACCTTACCACATTCTTCAAGTGAACTGTCTGTTAACCTGAATCGTTCTATTTTGTCATGTCAAGTCACCTCAGCTGGTAAAGTCCTTCAGCTCCCACTTGATGCCTGTTGTTCTGTTACACTGTGTAGCCTGGATCATGCACAGCACATCCACTCCGCAAGACCTGAATTGAAGTACAAGAAACTTGAAAAGCCCATTCCAGTACAAATGGCTGACACTAGTGCCTCTCTGAATGCTGTTTGTGTCCAAGAAGTCCCAATTGCCTGGCTTCCAAACAAGGAAACTGCTCATGTCGCTCTTGTCGTGCCCAATATGTCTTGGCCACTCTTGTTTGGTGAAAATCACTTAGCAGCTACTCACGCCTTGTCTGATCACAGAGAAAAAACTGTGACATTCCGTCACCCTGCTATGAATTTTACTATTTCATGTGATAAAGCCCCTGTCTCACAGGAACCCCATGCTGCAGTTACCTGCCTTCTTACTGGAAAACCAAGTAGCCACTCTGCACCCACCAAGACCACCGTTTACCGCGGTCTAAACCTACTCACAGTTTATCTCACCTTCAGTGCAGCATCCATCGGGTTGCTAGGAAACGACTTATGCCTAACTGGTCATGAACTCGAACCTGGTGTCAGAGTCCTCGATGGCATCTTCAGTGCATCCGCAGTACGAACTGTCATGGACTTCCCTTCTGACACAGGCACCTCCGAGGGTGATCTTCCTGATTTTCAGCAACTCATAGCTATGAATGTTGTTGTGCAATGTACAAAGAAGAGCGCTCATGTTGATCATTCCACCTTTGGTTATCTGTCACCTTGTACCGCTCAAAGCAAAGCTGATTTCCAGGATGCACTACACCACACAGCTGACATCCTTTCTTCATGACTTGATGCCTATGACTCGCTCTTCTGTCAGTCTCCTGTTGATGCATCTCCTCTCTTGAAGACCCCTTCACCTACCCGGTTTAGTAAAAGAGACCCAGTACAACCACACTGCCCTAAGCAGGCCAATCAGGAAATGATTACAGCCGGCCTTGTTCAAAGCTCCCGTTTACTCCATCCTTTCAATCAGCCTGATGACATGGATGATCGAGACCTTCCTCCTACTTCTGTTGTTGAACTTGATCCATTTTCAGAAGAATATCATCAGAAACTGCGAAAAGAGCTGCGCCTGCAGTCCTCAATCAGTTTGACACTTTACTTCGGAAGTATCTTCATGCATTTCTATTACCTGGTGCACCGCTTAGGCGTATCCATGGAACTGAGCACCACATTAACACTGGGAATGCACCGCCTTGCTACAAGCCACCATACAGGATGTCACCGTCAGAACTTCAAGCCGTGCGTGATCAAATCACTGCCATGCTAAAACAGGACATTATTCGACCTTCCAAGTCTCCTTGGGGTGCTCCAGCAATTCTTGTCCGTCGTAAGGACTTACACGGCAAACCCCAGCCTCCTCGCTTTGTGGTCGATTATCGCGCACTTAACTCAGTCACCAAGAGTGATGGATTTCCACTTCCTCAAGTCATAGACATCCTCGACTGGCTTGGTGGTGGTAAAACATTTGCAAAATTAGACCTCGCTAATGGTTATTGGCAAGTTCCCGTCAGAGAGGAAGACCGTGAAAAAACAGCCGTAGTCACCCACTGTGGATTGTTTGAGTTTTTCTCCATGCCTTTCGGCCTTAAGACAGCTGGCGCCACCTTCCAAAGGCTTATGCAGGCCACATTTTCAGACTTCCTCATGGGAAATGTAACAGGCAGTAGTGACAATCAAACTGGTTTCTGTATGCCCTATGTTGATGATTTGATTGTACGTAGTATGTCCGACTATGGTGCCTTAGAACATTACGAACAGATATTTAAACGTGCTGCTCAAGTTGGAATGCAGTTTAAACCGTCCAAATGCACATTCTTTTCAACTCACCTCGAAGTACTTGGCCACATCGTTACCCCCAATGGTCGCATCCCTGACCTCAAGAAGGTCCAAGCTATCTCTGATTTCCCAATGGTCAACTCCCAAACTGCTGTTCAGAAGTTTCTAGGAATGGTTGGTTTTTACAGGCACCACATCCCAAGCTTTGCACAAAGAACTTACCACCTACGTGAACTTTTACAAAAGGACAGAAAGTTCCAGTTAACTGCTCAGGTCGAAGCAGAATTCAATGACCTCATTGCAGCCCTCACAGGCCCTGACGTTTTGTTGCGATATCCAGATTGGTCCAAACCTTTTCACGTACACACAGATGCGAGCCAGCTTGGTGTTGGCGCTGTACTTATGCAAGAAGATGACCAGCATCACTTGCGACCCCTTCAGTATGCAAGCCAAGCGTTTTCACCCACCCAGAAAAGATGGGACACGCGCGAACAGGAACTCTATGCCGTCAAATGGGCAGTTGAACAATGGCGCCCTTATCTTTTGGGTCGAAAATTCATTGTCGAAACCGATCACGCTAATTTGAAATGGTTGTGCTCTATTGCTCCACATAAAGCTAAACTAGCACGTTGGGCCTCCTCACTTGCTGAGTACGATTTTGAACTCCGTCACCGCCCTGGTGGCAGTAATACCGTTCCTGATGCCCTTTCGCGTTACCCTGTAACCCAGTTTATCAGGTCTGAGAGCAGTGTTTCATCTGCCACTTTTGTTGACATATTGCCACCCGCAAACGTGTCAGCTTATTTGGTCACCGCACTGGGGCTAACTCCATACTACTTCGCCCCTCTTACGGCGACCATCTCATCTTTTATGACGGCCTTTGCCCTGACAACGGCAGATACAAGCACTTCTCCCCCTTCCAAAGCAGAGCATCTCTCAACTCCAAGCCAGACAGAAGAACCCCTTACTCTCCTAGGATCCAACAGACAAGACTTTATCACTCTTCAACTCCAAGACCCAACCTTAAAGCTCGTCCACAAGTATCTATCAGCCGGAAGTAAGAAGTCTGCCCTTCATGACTTATCGTCCCGCGAACAAACTCGCATTCAAAACCTGGCACGACGATGTCTTATTTTGGAAGGACTTGTTATGTACTCAGACGAATTTCTTGACGACCCCAGTCACCTTCGTATCTTCGTTCCTGACAACAAAGACTTGAAGTCCCGGTTACTGCGTGCGCATCATGACTCGCCCCTCGGGATGCATAGGGGACGAGATAATACCTACCATGCCCTCGCTAGAGATTTCTATTGGAGAGGGATGGGGAAGGCAACGAAACGCTGGGTTGCAAGATGTCTAGAATGCCTCAAGCATAAGTCCACCGATCAGCAACATGGCCTCATGCATACCCGGTTCTATGACAAACCAATGAATGTACTTGGAATTGACTTTGTTGGACCATTCCCGAAATCTTCCAATGGGAACCGCTATATACTTACCGCCGTCTGCCCGTTCTCTCACTTCCTGGTAGCAATACCAACAGCAGATCGGAGTGCTACCACAGCTGCAAGGGCACTGTTCGATAATGTGTTCCTTAAACTAGATTTTCCATCCACTCTTCTCAGTGACCGAGGAGGAGAGTTCTTAAACGCTGTACTACGTGAAGTCTCCAGACTCTTGTCCATTAAACAAGTGTTTACATCCAGCTATCGCCCTCGAGCTAATGGCGCTACAGAACGTGTTCACCGCTTCATGAATTCGGCTCTTGCGATTTTCGCGTCCAAATGGCAAAAACAATGGGAAGACTACTTGCAGCCAGCAGTGTACTCGCACAACACCTCGGCTATCGACGGCACTGATGGTATCACACCATTCTTCCTCATGTTTGGCCGTAATGCAACATCACCCGAGACAGTTGCTCTTCAGCTCCCAAGCGAGCCAATCAGCAAGAACGAATATGCAAAACATTTGGTTCAAAGGATTTCAGAGGCACACAAACTATTCTCCAGCATCAAAAAGGACCTAAGGAGAAGGCAACGAGATGATTACGATTTGTCTGCTAACGTTAGAGAATTTTCTGTCGGACAGCAGGTCCTAGTCAGGAAACCACCTCCTTCAAACGTAGAAAAAGGATCAGCTACTAAACTCATCCGAAGATACGCCGGACCTTATATCGTCAGCGAGCGTTTGAAGAATAGTGATCTTTATCGTCTAAGGCACGCCATTACCAATGAAGAATTACCTCCTACTAACGTCGAGAAGCTGATACCAGTTCCAGAAGCCGAGCCTGGCGAACTAAGAGAGTCCTGCCCACAAGGAGCATCTCTTCCTGTTCAATCAAGGGAGAGAGAGGAACAATACAAACCTGGCCAATTCATTATATACCTTCCCAAGAGGAACAATCAAGCAGACGAGGGGATCTCACTCAAACTGGCCCAGTATCTTGAACCCCTAGGAAAGGCACCAGTTAGCGAAGCTTGCAAGCATCTGTACTCTGTCTACCCAGCAGCCAAGCAAATTCTTGCCAAACTTGGAAGGATGCGCGGTCTCACAGCACATTGCCCATACTTATCCCTGGAAGGAGATCCCTCTGGAGGAGCTTATTATCTAGTCTTAGATCAAGCTGCGTATCGACGGTCTCACACCGATCAAGGGATCCTGGTTGGAGAAATTGTGGAAGCCGGTGAAGTCCAAGACACGGTTGTAGTTCACACCTATGCTCCTACTAAGCGTCGCACAAGACTTGCGAAATCTCGCATTTGGAAACCTGTCTACAACCATGATTTGTCAAGGAAATCTGTCCCTATGGACAAGGACAAGCGCTTGATGGACTATAGCCCAGACTTTGATCGCGTTGAGCTTAGGCAAATTATTACAGCGCGAGATACTCTGGAGCAATTGTTGTCTGTTAGAGACATGGACGAAGCAGTGACAAAGTTATTTGTTGGTGTTAGGTCGTTGCACGTTTAGAGACTAAACTACGCTCGAACTTAATCGCGGTTTTAGATGCTCAAAATAAGTGTAATCTAGTTTTAGGACCTTAAGCTTTTGATTTTAATTGTACATTTCCTCGCTCCTGTTAGAAGAGAAGGAATGTAGCCGTTTTTCCTTACACCATTATGTCATATTACCATTTATGGAAAGCGTAGGTCACGTGTTGTGAGAGATTAAACAGAGTTCTAGTTGTTGTTGAGATGGAGTTGGCGCGGTATGTTTTCGTCTATTTTCTAACCGCTACAGCTAGCGGGGGAGGGTGCTGCAAAAGTGTGGTATTGTCAGTAAGTCTTTGAAGAATATTCGTTTAAGCGAAAAAAAAAAGAGCACGTGAAGTTAGCAAAGTCCTGGAAAAGAAAAGACGCCACCGAGTATTGAACTTCTTACAAATCTATTTCTTTCAGTCTAATTATTTTTGAAATGATAAATCTATTATGATATTAAAATGATGGGCTTACAAAAGAGTTTTATGTTAATTTCGTCGGAAAAAAAACACAGATAGATACTATGTCGTGACACAACGCGACAAGTGACAACGAACCGAATGTCCACCAAAAACCATTCATCACGACAGTCGCATTGCGTTGTTTAGCTACTTCCAAATCTACACGTAGGTGCAGATTGCGTGCACTTTTTCAAAAACGTGACACAGGCCTTTTTGGTTCAGCGGCTACAAGCACAGTTTTAACATTTTCAGATATGGTTCAAGGACTATTACAATTGGCCAACAAATGAGAAAATATACATTAAATTGTTGAGCTGAAAAAGAAGAAGAAGAAGAAAAAGAAACTATTAAATTGTTGAAAAAAAGGGCGTTAGAAAGTATCCAGCCAGGCACTTCCTGGTCCGAAAATTTTTGCGATATAACGCCGTGCGCTACAAGAACAATATATAGAAATTACCTTACGGACGGACGGACCGACTAACAGAGGCTCTGCCATAGTGCTCAACTGGCTATGAGCCAGTGAGCACAAAAAGAAATAAAGAAAAAAAAATCACTACAAAAAATATCACACTAATAAAACACGGAGACCTACAACTTTTAAAAAGAGAATGAACACAATAGCGCTTGAAGTGCCCCTGCGCCAAGGACTAGTAACACCTTGAAGTCCGTAACAAAACTATTATTATATTGCCGCAATAGTACGCGCGCTTTTGTAATGACCGGGCATTATGAAAATTTTTCTCGGCTCTGTGGCTCTTTTGACTTTTGAGCAACTGAGCTACGAGCGCAACTGGCGAAAGCAACAACAAATTTCGTGACAAAATATAACTATCTTTTCAATAACTGAAAGAAAAATACTAGCTTATCGATACTTCTTTACTATGAGGGACGATGAGAGCCACAGCGAGGGCGAGTTTTTTGTTGTATTCATTTCAAGAATAACGCCCAAACGGCCATGTAATAAATATCTTATTAATCCAGGATTAACCACTTCCGTTTGGTCATTACGGGGAATTCTTACTTCAATTTATATTACCTATATGCGTGTTTGATTTTGTTAATGTTTTTTTTTTTTTCACAAAAATACACCTTGCTTACCTTTGTTTTTGTAGTTTGCTTACATCCTGCATGACAAGGCGAAAAGTACGTCAGCTTGTCCTGTCCACAAACAGGATTCATGCTGGCCAACGAACAACTGCAATTCATATTGCATGGAGCCAGTGGGCTGCGAGTCTCCATTAAAGAGCTGCCATGGAAGTGAAACAGTCAAATTTTTATTGAGTGGCCACCTGCTCGTGAAAGGGGACACATGATCACTCTATAGCTATACAGGCTCGATTGTATATATCACCTTGCTATAGAAGCATGAAACGTTTTCGAGAAGCTGAGAAATACATAGTAATAACAATAATCAAGAGCCATAATGGGACAATAATAATAATCATCGTCAACATCATGTCATCATCACCATCACCATCATCAACATCATCATTATTATTATTATCATTATCATTATCAACCGTATTTCTTTCCCTCCATCATTCTTTGTCCCTAATAAACGGAATAAAAAATTGAAAACAGCCAGAATATTCCTTACATTTTATTTTCTCTGATAGTCTATTAAATAAAAACAATCCACCTTAGTTTAAAACAGTTCATACCTATTGTAATAAGGTTTTACTACTCCAGCTAAATTTATGTCATCGCATCCGGGAATGAGGAAAGCAATCGGTGTCCAAACTGAAAGCAGCTGGATAATCAGGCAACACTTGGCAGAGAGTCTGCAAGATTTCTTTAAACTGAATCTCCTGACCAAAAAACCACCTAAAACTATACCACCTACAGGAAAGCGAAAAGCGCGGATTGTTACTAATAAATCTAAAAGTTGTACAGTCAACTCGCTTTATAGCGGATACTGTAGGGACTCGAGTTAGTGTCCTCATTAGAGGGAGTCTATTTCAGTCAAACGTCTGCAATTAATTTTTGCCTGGGATTTTGATGCTGTCAGTATTATCGGGGTGTCCATTATACAGTCACCTCTAGCCTTGCAGACGAGGGACCTTATTTTATGACCCTGACTTTTCATTTTGCTTTCAGGATTAAGTAACGTTTCAAACTAATATCAGGGATTAGATTTTTTTGGAAAAAAAATTGTTGGTACCTCAAATGTAGACCGTTCATCACAAGCGGTCACACTCTTTTAAACGCTTCTGGTCCAGGTAAATACCCTGTTTAAGACGCTAGTTAACCAGTGAAACGTAAAGCTTTCACGGCTCCAAGCATTTACTTAAATCGATGTACTACAATTGTGGGAATTCGACACACAATATGGCAGAGATAAGTTAATCATAAGTTTACCTAGTTGCTTGAAATAATGACCGCAGCAGATTCCGAGGCAGAATAAAAAATATATATATTATTTGTTGATTATTTATTAACAATCCCCAACCCAACTTCCATTCAGGTGACACCTCTAACAAGTATTCAGGGGACACTTGTCTTGGTCCTGAGCTAGGGTGTGCCCTGAATAGAGATTCCACTGTGTATTCATCTCAATTTGCACTTACCTGCAGCTCCAACCATAAAGACTGTTCCAAGCGTCAGTCCAGCAACGGTGGGGTGGACACCAAAGTTTGTCTCAGCAAACTTAGCAATGAAGGGACCTACTCCACCACCATAGAGTGAGCTTGCAGTGAGGGCAAGGGTGTTAAACAGGTACGTTGGATTTGTGATCAGTTGCACGGTAGCTGGTAAGATATCTTTCAATTTTCGTCTCAACTTGAGATCTGTTTTCGGCAAGTGCCCCTCTTTGATGGCTTGATCACGCTTCTCTTTTGATCCGGGTAACTCGCGGGGAAAGCCAAGGATCAAAATTGCAAATAATATCATCAGACCAGCAGACAAGGCGTACCCTAACCACCAGGCCCCAATCCATTGAGGGTCCCTTGGAGATAATCTGGCTCCCTTGGGCTAGAGATGAACAAAAAACAACTTGATGTTACTCAATAAAAGAGCATGAAATCCAGTCATAGTAACTTTGGGTAGTCTATAATATGCATTGCAAAGAAACAAAAGCCAGTGGCCTCCGACCACGACCTTGACCTGGTGACCTCGAAAGTTCCGGAAAAAAAAGACTTCCGACGACATCATTCTTATTTATTTATCAGGCTTAATATTTACTGTCACATTTATATCATTTCGAATCAGCGACCTATAGACATCCCAGTCTTGGGATGTCTGTCATATTAACTTAGTTTAATGCCTTGGTTCCCACTGCTGGCATGGTTTCCTGTAGATCAGCGGTGTAGAACGTTTGGAGTACAGTAACCAGGAACTCATAGGTCCGACTTCTGTTGAGAACTCCATTTTTTTCGAGTCTCTGGGGTCACTGACTGAAGGAGCTCTCACCTCTTAGGAGCTTCCGAACTTCAAAGATACTTTTAAAACTTGTGCCTTTTTCGCTCCCAGCCATCACGATGTCGTCACATTACTCCTTTTATTAAAATTTTGCAATCTTAAGACTGTTTAAACTGCACAAGAAAAAATATCCCGAAACGCCTTTAGAGTGGTAAAAAAACTAACGCAAAAGTAACCAAAGTATGATATAACTTAAACATACTATCTTACTATCTGAAAATAAAGGGGTTAGGGTAAAAAGGTGCTGCGTTGCTGAGGAAGGGGGCCAAAAAGATGGTTTCGAACTGAACACCGAACGAGTTAATAGTATTGGTCAATTCATGACCAATGTTTCGCGCGAGAGCCCTTTGTCAGGACGAATTCCGAGTCTGACTTACTGACAGTTGGAGTGATTCTTACTTAACACTGTTAGTGACTGACAATGAACATTTGGCTCCTTATCGGTATTAACGCATGAGTGACAGCAACCAGACATTAGAGAATTTTATAATCATCTTTACGGCAAGCAAGATTCAATTTGAAGATGTCTTAAAATTAATTAGAAATTGTACAGCGTACGTGTGGATAACGAAAGGAGCATAACGATAAGTAAAGAGGACTTGTCACGTGGTGCAAATCGAGGATTGCCGTTAACGTGATTGTAAAGCTCTCTATCAATGCCATTTGACTTATAAGAGTAAAAAAAATTGTGTCCTACAGAATTTGGTGTGACCGAATTTGGAGTTATAGAAATTGGCACACAGCATAGGATTTGGTGCAAATGAATTTGAAACCAGGGCAAAGAATTTGGTGTGACAGAACGTGATTAGCCTCCCCGCAGACGTCCTTTGGGGTTCTTTTGTCACGCATTCATTTCTCCCCCACGGACCGAGCCCCAAAGGACGTCTGCGGAGAGGCTAGAACGTGATGCCAAGACATCGAATTTGGCGTTATATCAGTATTGAAATTAGAAACACAGAATAGAATTTAGTGTAGTCGAATTTGATAACACAGGACAGAATTTGCTAGGGGAACGAAACGTTTAATGGCCACAATTTAGCGACATACAGAAATTAGATAACTTGAATTTTTGCGGTGGTCACACGCCATATAGACCATATAGGAGATTGCATAAATTTCACTGAAGTGGTCTTATCAGTCAACCTACCTGTTTGACGTGTATGTAAACATCACCTAAAATTGCGCCACCAACCACAAACCCAAGCCCGGGACCTGTTATGGCAGCCGCATAAAATATCCCCAAGTAAACAGGTGAGGTTTTTGGATTCACGTTTTCATCAATGTAAGCTGGCACAAGTGAGTACAGCGGAGTCGTGCCAGCACCCATAATTATTTGGGCAAAGCAGAAGATAAACAGGTAAAACTTGTTTGATCCGTATCCTGAGAAACAGCTCTTACTCGTTAAGCCGGTGTTGTTACTGACCACACATTCTTCGATTTTCCGCGAGCCGGTGTCTTCTAAATTCGGCTGATATGTGTCGCTTATAACGTGAGGAAGAACGAACGTAAAACAACCAATCCCTAACAAAAAAATACATAATTATTTTCACTTTTTTCAGCCGCGAGAGGTCATTGCTCATGTTCTATTGCACAATACCGTCACAATTATTTACAAGATTATTCCGGATTATTGCGCAAGTGAAAGCGTTATGAAAAAAATTGATTTCGCCGAAGTAAGGGAAACAAGAAACCAAAGGAAAGGCTTTGAAAATTACAAGGAATGGATCTTCGAAAATTTAAGTGTTACGAGGCCGTTCCAGTCACCCTCTCGATTTGTTGGGTGTTCCTGTAATCCTGCCAAACCTCAACTCGACTCAGGACTGAAAAAGCATTGCTCACAGTCTACTTAACCGAGGAATTATTATATGACATGCAAAAGTTTTAGTAGAAAAAAAAGAACACTCACACTGATGTATATTAAAGAAAATGTTTCTTTTTATAACCCATTCGCCCCATGGGAACCAAGACATTCTTGGATTCTGGATTCCACGCCGTGGATGCCCGATTGCAGGTACTGGATTCCAGTCTTTTTCAGTGGAACTTGGATTCTGGATTCTGGATTCCAATCGTTAGTGGGATTCCTTGAGCAGTAATCCGGATTCCAAAGCCTAGGATTCCGGATTCCTCAAGCAAACATTTCCCGCCGACATTCTGAAATACAGATTCCCTTACACAGTGTTGCCTTTAGGTGCCTTTTTGGTCTATAGATTTCACTAATCGATAAGTTTCCCCAGTTATTAAGTCTATAAGTTCTTCTCAAGCTCAATGTAGTCGGAATTATTACCCATGCGCCAGACTGCACAAACCTGTTATTATAGTCCCATATCCCAGCCACTTGACCTTGTTTCCAAACTGCCCATAAAAACTAACAAAACAGATGAGCAATACAGAGGATATGTCGTTGGAAGCAGCAATAAGACCAAGTTCCTTGCTGTTAAACTGAAAACGTTTCTCAAGCGCGGGAAGACTTATATTTGTGAATCCACCAACAGTCATACCTAACGAAGAATAAGGCAAAAAAAAGACAAATTAACTGTTAATAAAGATATACAAGAAGCCTCACGCTGCACGTTAATTGACTCATATGGACATGATGTTACTAAAAATGGCCTGAAGGTGAGTCACCCAACTTCATCTTCTTTCTGTCAATCTTTTTTCCACTTGATGATCTACTCGTATTAAAGTCCCCAAAGGAAGTGACAGTGCATTTAGCTGCATTTCTATGTAAGAAACGGACTTTTACATCAGGGTTCAGGTTTGATTCCCTTTTTTGTTAAGTTATGTTCACAAGGAGCAGTTTCCAACTGGATGCTTTCCGATAAAGGGTGTATGTACGGTAGCATGTTCACACGGGATCAGTCTTGTACGCTACTGGTTTAAAGTGAGGAAAGCAGCTCTCAGTTTAAGCGTGCAGAGGGATCAAACAAAGATAATATAGTGTTTTCACATGACATCACGGCGGCCATATTGGTGTCTCTAACCAATGAAACGGCGGCCATGTTGGTGTTCCAAACCAGTCCTCTGAGAGTTGAACTCTTTTCTTATGCAAACGCTTTCTTTTGTTCCAATAAATGGCAACGTGAGTGATAACACTCTATTCACAACATTTTCGTCACCAGAGCTACTCGGTTTATTTCATCAAAGAAACGAAGGGCTCTCGAAACGAGAATAAAAAATATGAGATGATCCATGTTCTCATAAAAGTGAATTTAGATTAGGCCTTCAAACGAAAAGATTGGGAAACAGTAGCAAGGTCAAGCACAGTGGGTGCGTTTTCTTAGACCTACACGGTCAAGTGAGGATCACTAAAAATTTGTTTGTACAGGTTCAAATTAAATATTCATCTCTATCTTCCCTGGAAAAGGTTTAGAGTCGCGGAAAATTCAAGGGAACACTCCCCGGGGAGCAAACAGAAAATATGATCAGCTGACGAACCTTGAATAGTGCAAATAAACACAGAAGCCATGAGAAAGCATTTGGCATTGTTAACAATCTGCAACCATCTGGGTTTGAAAGTAGACCAGCCATATTTTAACTCACGCTCTGGCTCTTTTTCCATCTCGTACTAGCGAATACAACCTGAAAAGGATTTGAATAGAAAAGGATTCAAAAATACGATGGAGAGAGGAATCAGAAAACATGTCTCACTTTCGTAACACGTCAAATTGCATCTAAAATTTTAGGGAAAATAATACTCAAGCCCTTGTAATTTCGAAACGACTCAAGTTCCCCTAGGATGACCGAACAGATAGCGTGCATTTCTAGAGTGTCTTTAGAAGGAAACCGTCGTTAAGTGCCCCTGATACTCAGCATGTTAATTGCTGAATGTCTTCAGAAAGTAAATACCAGTTTTAAACTGACTCAATTTTCATGACTCATTTTCAGTCGTTTAAGGAATTTTTCACGGAACGTCTAAAATTGGCTCGGTAGACGATGGGAAACGGGCCAAATGGGGAAATGAAACGTGGCTGAAAAAAATTTAAAACAAAAGAAGCAAGACTGAGACATATCTACATTTTTATCAATATTTCGGAAGGCACGGCCTTCCTACTTCAGGGTCTTACATATAATGTAAGACAATATGTAATACCCTTAAGAAGGAAGGCCGTGCCTTCCAAAATATTGATAAAAATATATAAATGCATTCCCGACTGTAAAATCAGCCTTGCTTCTTTTGCTTATATTTTCACTTATTGCTGATTAGATCTTTTATTAGGATTCGGTTCTTCCTTTTTGTAAGCTGGTCCTTTCTTCAAAAATTGAATTTGAAAGAAATTTGTATGAAAGTTTATGAGGCAGAAAACTGAGAAAGTAAAGCTCCTCGAACGTGAGATCGAGAAGGGTGTTTCGCGACTCAATACTACAATTCAAAGTAGACAGACTGCAAATTATAGTAGTTGCTAAAAAATATATCTACATGTCCCAACTGTTCATCAGTAGGATGCCTAAAATGCGTGCAATTCCGTTTCGGCTCCATTAAATCCTATACCAATTGCAGAACATTTTAAGAGGGAGCCACCCAACGTGTGAGCACAGTCACGGACAACACATATAACAGGGGCACCCAACGACAATTTTCGGAAAAATATCTGTTCGGAAGAAGATTTGAGATCTAGAATTTTCGGAACATTTGTTGTAAAATTTCTTGCTTGCCTGCCTCGCCTAGGATTTTCGAACATCTAAAAAATGGTAAAATTGCCCATTTTCAATGGATTTTTACCCTAAAAAGGTCACCTAGAATTTTCGGGAGCCTTTTTTATGGCTGAAATTTTCGAACAGGTAAGTTTTGATCCCTATAATTTTCGGATCACTAGACTTTCAGCTAGGAAATCCGAACAGATGAAAAATTTATAGGGGATAAAAATATGCCCATATCCACCGTTTAAATACTAAAGCACGTTTAACAATGCTATGTTTAAGTGGTTTTGAACTATATATATTCTCGTTGGGTGCCCCTGGTATAAGTGAGGAAAATAACGCAAAGCAAAACTAAGACGTTATTGAACGAACTAAATGTACACGCAACTTAAATAAATAAGAAAGACTACAATTGTAGTCTAAAGAGAATTGGTCACGCACTGATTTCCTTCGTGTCTCCACTGAAGTTTGTAAATATTAGTTCACGGGGTTTGTACGGAAGTCATTCAAATAATCCCTATACAAAATAACTTGATATTGAAAAACTTCTTTCTTTGTTGGGTAGCACGTTACTCGCATGATAAGCCCAGGCATGACTTAAACATAAAACCTTTTCTATCCTTGAAGTGGCCCAGTTGTCAAAATAAGGCCAAATTTCCAATTTTTTTTTTTTTTTTTTTTAAAATGCTTAGATGCAAATAACACCAACCGAAAGTGCCGCTGAAGAGGTTTCATTTGAATGGTCAAATCGCAACATTTCATCCACGGACTCAAAAATTAAGACTGAAATCAGCGATTCTATCAAATACAAAGGGTGATGTGAAAAGGCATGTTGGATTGTTGATGAAAGAATGAAGCAAAAAAAAAAAAACCCCAAAGCGTAATGCCCTAGTAACTAGAAACTTAACCGAGGACGCAGACAGCAAATCCTTGAAAAATCCAGCGACAAAACGATTTTGTCCCGACATCGTCGGTCAATTTTCTGTTAAAACATTGGTGTCAATAATTTTGAGTCTAAAAATTCAATTCGCGATGTAAAGTAGGTCTTGAGTCTGCTCTCATAATACACTAATAATAATCTCAAGGGTCTTACGTAAATACTTGGAGTTGAGTTAGACAGCCGGGCCGGGAGAACTTAAACGTTTTTACTTTTCCTTTGGCTTCGTTAGTTTGCATGTGCGACACACATTACTCCTGCTTGCATTGCTATTATTTGTCTCACTTTCTCTCTATTCACCCCCACCTAGCGGGACATCGATCCTGTGGCAAACAAGACTATGTAGTGCTTTATTTTCCAATTGTTACCGGCTTGTACTTCACGATAGAAATTTTTAATTCTGATTAAGCCGTTTCAGAAATGTTAAACAATTGTAGATTTACAAAACATTTTGCTAGGACCTCCACAGTGATATTTTTGAACTTTCCGTGATTGGCAGAAGCCTTATAAATATGCTAGTTGGAGCTCTGTTAACTACAACTGCCATCACCATCGTCTCTGATTGAGTAAATTAATTTAAAAAGTAGAGGCTAGAGTTTTAAAATTTAGTGAAATAAAACTTTAAACACGGCGTTAAGGTATCCCTTGAAAAGTTTTGGGAAGCTTGATGATATCAGGAGCTCATTGTACCAGATGTGACCACCCCGCCTCCCGGCTCCAGATGAAATGAAATTAACGTACTTCAGTTGGGAAGAAAGAAGTATAACTGTTCACATTGGCTTTGGAAAAGAATGAACAGAAGAAAGATTTCCGTTTTGTTAAGATATTCACCAGGTAAAATGAGGAAATAAACCACTTACTACTTACAGAAGAGATGTATTGTTAACTGTACACGTCCTGTTACGCCGTCCGTGAACGACCTGCAGTGCGTAGGTCACTGCTGAACAAAAGCTTTACGTTTTAAGATACACACGTACTAAGTATCAGAGTAAGCCCTCTATACGCGTAAGAGATGGCTTTCGGCCAAAAGTCACAAAACGCTGCAGTTAGGGATACCGCCTCATGAACGTTATCTATTAGAGAGTGTACTGCAATGGCTTGAGTCCAACTAAAATGAATCAAATTGAATTACAAGAGACGAAAATAGTCGAAGGCAGATTGTTTTTCATGATGTTACTCTTTGACATTATTCAGTTATGATCACGAAACATTGTACAACAAAAATAGTACTTAATGAAGACCTCATATCGATTTTCTGTTAGCTTAACATATCCACTCCATTTAAGAAAAAGCATTAGAATTGAATGCTCATTTTAAAATAAAGACTGGTAGCGATAGCCAATCTATAGCTAAAGTCGTGTCATTGTCCCCAGCGTGGCCGAAAATGAGTTAACCCGATAATATACATCGTGATTGTCTCTTCCAGGCCCAGCCCAGAAGAAATTTGCCAACTGTTCTATTACCAAAGTTCTTTGATAGAGCTGTTTACCAATAATCAAGACCCAATCAAAGCTTTTTGCCCACTATCAGAAGTAGGTGACAAAGATGCAGCCCATTACCCGGCAAGAAATTAGTGAATGGTAATGCTTCACCCTGTCCGTCCATAGAAAAACTCGCCCCTAGTACTCCTCAGTTATTGAGTCACGTATCACTGACTGCATGACGTGATCGATCTTTGGCAGCTCCGTGCACAAATCGTCACATAACCTTAGTTAGGTCTTGCATTATCAGCGAGTTCTATCTGCAATATTGAACTTCTACAAGGTAAGTAATATCTTTTATTAAAGTGCTGCAAGCGTTTTATTGGAATCAGCATTCATCTTCAATAGATCGTGATTGTATAAAAGCGAGATTGTCAACTGCGCAGCGTCTGAAGGCGGAAATCTTAAATTTTCTTTAATTCCACGACGTGGAAAATCTTCGGTATATTTCGTTTTACTTCACCAAAACTGCTTCCTTCTTGCTACGATTTCTGTTATGATGACCTATAAACGTAAGATACTATAGTATACATAGAATTTGCCTTGCATTCGAACAGAGGAATCTTTTGTTTGGGAGTTGAGCTGTCAAACGAACTGAAATTTTACTTATGGAAATGAGCGCTGGATTTGGAAATCCATGAACATTTTATGCTGGTTATTTTGAACAAAGAAAATCATGATTTAAAAAAATATTTTCACGATAGTATGTTTGTTTGCAATGCCGATCGGCTGCTATATATATATCCTATAAAATTTGCAAGTCATTGTTTGTTTTGTTCTGCAATCATGATGCGGTCACACGTAATGTCACGCCTTTGTTTTTGAGAACTTATAATCAGTCACAATGAAATTCACAGAGGAAAAAGTCAAAATGGACTGCTCTCAAGAGTAGATGGTTTTTAGGAGGGCAAAAGTTATCATCAAAACCCCAAAATCGCCGAATGCCCCGATTCACGATGCCACCTGTGAAGCGTGACGTGTTAGACAAAAGGTACCATTGTTGCTTGATTTGGTGAATGTAATTTGTGTGGTATTCTTGATTTAAGACAAATCGCATTGTTTACGGTATTGAGTATGCTGTGGTTCAGTAGCATCCTCGGTTCAATTTTGCATTTTCTTTAATGCGGTATGCCAAATACCTTATGAGCGTAATAAAGATTTGAACCAAGGATAAAACTGAATCACAAAATATAACTTTTTATCAGTTTAGAGAAGCTCGGTAAAACACGGTTATAAGACCGATTACGTAATAGAATCCCCACGGTTAAATGCTTCTCTCTCTGTTTTAAACGCTTTCAGAGAGGAGAAGCCTTTTTTCCACTCTGTCTTTTAATACCCTGAGTTGTAGAGACTTCTCACGCAGGGTTTCCGGTTTCTATTTTCAGTGACCCGCGCGAAAAGCTTTGCCGCCCGTGGGAATTGTTTTAGCCTGCGCGCAGACGAAATTAAACTCCGGTTAACTCCGTCTGCGAAACAGCGCCGAAATCCTTATTCTGGACTTCC